AAAAATAGCTGGAGTGTCTGAATAATAGAGCTGCAATTCATCCCAGTACGGAAAGACCAGAAGGCTTTTGCAGTATCTGTTCCCACATATGCTCTCAACGAGGTCCCAGGCAGGTTTTGGTGGTGTAGCTGGTAGGGGAGCCCCTGGAGTCTCTCCTATCGCATGCTGGAGACAAAACTGCAGTAAGAGATCTTTCTCCCCAGAAACAACCAGTGCAGACACTCACAGGGAAGTCAGCCTGATTTGGGAGGAGGGCTTTAGAATCATAAAATCATAGAATCATAGAATCATTAAGGTTGGAAAAGACCCTTAAGATTATCGAGTCCAACCATTAACCTATCACTGCCAAGTCCACCACTAAACCATGTCCCTAAGCACCACATCTACCCTTCTTTTAAATACCTCCAGGGATGGAGACTCAACCACTTCCCTGGGCAGCCTGTGCCTGTGCCTGACCACCCTTTCAGTGAAGAAGTTTTTCCTAATATCCAGCCTAAACCTCCCCTGGCGCAGCTTGAGGCCATTTCCTCTTGTCCTATCACTTGTTACTAGGGAGAAGAGACCTCGTTCATTTTATTTTTTTAAATGTAAAACCAGGAAAGAAAATGGCAGTAAAGCAAATTAAATGCATTAATAGCAGACATAAATCCCCATTTTCCTAATGTTTTCCCCTGCTCTGTCACTCACTCAGTCCATTTGCAATTTCAGCTGTTCAGCATCTTATCTTACCACCCATCCACAGGTGTACGTGGGTGTCCCAATGACTTTGGAACCTGTAGGCCAATTTCAGACAACTTTGTGGAGGGTAGGTAATACGTTTCTGTACGTTTTGTTACATTTATTGGCTGACAAAAGAAAGAAATCCAATGACTGCCCCCACTGAAGTGTGAGCGTACCCTCTGTTAGGCATCAGAGAATCCACACATGATGCAATCTTGAGAGACACATCCACAAGGAAAACCATGCTTCCCTGTCTGGTTCCACTGCTCATGAAAATTCTGCTTTTCTCTGACCTCCTTCTTGCTGAAAACCACTATCTATTCCTATTTGCTCCCCTTCTGTTTTGCTTTTTTCACTCTTTTTCTTCTTAAACTGCATTTGTAACAGTCTGCCGCCTTCGCTCGTTTGCATTCTCCCCAACATCCTGCCCATGCCTTGCTGTCTTCCCAACTGTGCTTTCTTACCTCTCTTGGTCTCCCCTCCTCTGTTTTTAAGTCCCTATCTTAAATTCTTCTCACTTCCCTGTATTTTTCTTTCAGTCTTCCATATCACTCCATTTCCACAGTCCTCTCCCACCAAAATAGCTTGCTAATCATATTTTGATACTTGCTAGTGAAACTCCTGTAAACCTTACCCGGAAGCATTACACTAATGGGGTACACTAATATTTGTTGCAGCAAGTTCCTCCCTTTCCAAACTATTAAAGTGAATGAGAGAAGTGATCTCTCTTTTGCTAGAGCAAATAGTTTTAAGCTCCCTAGAGAGCTGCAGTGATCATTTTAATAATGTTCTCTGTTAAGGCAGGATCAGACCCACAGAGCATCAGAGCAAGAGCAAGGATTTCAACATGACAGAATTAGGAAAATTACATTTTTCCTGCCCTGGTCTGTCGGCAAACATTTGGACTGAGCAAGTGTAGAATTCCATGAAATCTGGAAAGTAGCACTTACACCCTCTCTGAATGAGTGTGAGAGGCTCGGGAAGGTCAGAATAAGTGTTCTGCATCAGTGAAGATGTTCTAATTATTATTAGGATCTCTGTAATGCTCATAGCTCTCCTAAATGCGTGTGTACACTGTGCACTCTATGGCAGCTAATAGCACTGTGAGAGACCTTCATTTTTAGTGTTCTGTTTTTTAATTCTCAATCTTTAACACTGCATTAAAATGACTTTTAAAAAAATTTAATTCTCTGAATAGTTCTTACAGGTCTTTAAAAAAAGATTAAAATGTCTGGTATTGCACTGTAATTTATTATTATTTAAATTGCTAATGCCTGTGAGTTGCTTAGGCGTTTGCATTTTTATTTATTTATTTATTTTAAAGCCACATCTATTTAATGAAACAACAAGGCAGACGGCAAGCAGTGGAAGGGCCACTGGACTGTGGCTCAGAAGTTACAGGGTTTGAACTGTGTTTGCCGGATAAGTCTCTGTACATCTTGGTGTCTTCTTCTCTCCTCCTACTCTTTTACTGCTTCATCTGTTCATAAGCTCTCAAGGACAGAGACCTTCACCTAATTATGTGTTTCTGTGATTCACAGCACAATAAAGTTTTGATACTTGCTGAGGTCACTGTGCCTTAAATGACTACTGTAACGCAACTGATAACTCAAACTGCCGAAGAGATGTCCTGCAAACACCACTCCAACCCACAGGCCAGGTACCATACAATTAGTAAGTGGTACGTGAATGCCAGAAGGTCTTAGTGAAGGACACAAGAAGCCATCGCACCCTTTCCCTCCAGCTGCATATTTTTCACCTGTCTTCACAATATTCTCAAGTGCTGCTGATTTTTATGAAGGATCTTCTTCTTCACCAGAACGTTCTCTTCACAAGGACATAGAACCAACACTTTTTTATACTCAGTTGATCCTTATCTGCATTTGGAAGTCAGAAATTTGGCATGATATTAATACAGCAAGATGACAGGCCAGTAAAACAGAGGTGTAACAAGCAAGGACCCTAATACTTCCTTGGGCAAAGAAACTGAGATAAAGTGGGAAAACCAGCAATGTGTCTTCTTGGAGACTTTTCTCCTGGTGTCTGCCAGTGAGGTCCAGTCTCTCAAGGGAGGCTTGCCATGGGAAGTGTCACCAGCCCTTACTCCAGGAGGTCACTTGGCTCCCGAGCATGAAAATGGAGGTGAGTATGATGGTATGTAGTTTTCTGCCATTGATTTGGGACTCCTCCTTAGACCAAGACTGAAGCATCTGGAAGGCAAGGCAAGTGGCCACTCGGTGTAACAGGCAGTAACAGTAGTTTTTCCTCTTCAGAAACTGGTGCTACGGACCTGTTCTGGTGGGACACTTGAAAGCAGTGGTGATGTGGGTTTCACTGAGCATCCACCAGAGAGCCTCAGGTCAGGTGGAGCAATTGCATTCAGATGTTTCTCTCTCTGCCTCTTTCTATTCATGAGGCAGCACAAAAGCTGCCAGCTCACTGGTGTAAGGCAGGAGCAATAAAGCTTTTCGCCTTTCCTCTCTGGGTTTTAGTAAGAGGATTACATATCTCCTCCTTCTAGAATAAACCTCTTTGCAGGGAAGATACTTACTTCTCAAGCCCTCTTTGGAGATCAGTCCCTGCATCCAGACTCCTAAGATTCAAGCCATCACAGCAGCCAGTGGGAAATGAACCCCAGTTAAAAGGGAAAGGCTTTTACAGCTCTGCAGGACTGCAGGGCTAGCACATGGTATACACGCTGCCATGGGGAAAGGGTCCTGGCTGGGTTCACAGCTATCGGAGACAGAAAAATAAGGAGGTACAAGCACAGAGCAGAGTTCAAGCTCCACCCAAGATGACAGGAGACAGTTGCTGGAGCCTTGGAAAGACACAGCTAACCCTCTTGCTGGAACAGCTTCACCATCAGGGACAAACAACCCAAGAAACAAAAGAGGGAAGGAACCTCTTGTAACTTCAACACTTGACCAAATATGTCTGAAAACAGTACCCAAGCACGCATGAGTGCATGGAATCAGCACATTGTTAAAACAGAGAAAGCAAATTGAAAGGTTTAAGACAGAATTATATGTTTTACTACATCTAGCCCAAAGACACTGATTAATTAAGGACCTTTAGAAGGACCATAACATCCAAATCAGACTTAATCACTAATACATTCCCATAACTTTGGAAACATCAACCAGCAATTGCTTCTGCAAGTTACTACGTTCCTTTACAAAAACACCTGTGCATTAAAATGAAAATCTGTGTGACAAGTAAATAAAACTGCTCACTTCCACTGACCCTCCTCAGCACCCACTGTTCTTCCCTTCTGCTGAGGCTATCTCAGCCACCGTGACACTAGGGACCTGCTCTGGCTCCTGTTTTGCCTCCCATCACTCCCATCACTCTCTCTACTCTCACTGTAGCCGGTTTAGGCTAATGGCATGAAAGTGCACAAATTATTTTGTAGCGTTTCCTATGGCTCCTTTGGTCATCATCTTCACCTGCCTTCATCTATGTGAATCATTTCAATTTTGCCTAGATGGGACAAAAGAAACATCCCGATACATACGTACATCTTGCTTCTCACCTCAGACCACAAGCGTCCCCATCAGCGTAGAGGGACAGTCTGATTCACCTCCATGTCACCTCTCGTCTTTCCAGCTTTCCCCTTCCTGGCCACACCAGGACCTGTGATGATCACTACAACTCAGAGGAGATAGATTTCTTGACGGCACCTGGAGGCCCTGGCGATTCCTCAGGTCTCTCCCTGCTGCCCACTTTCCACCCCTGCAGGGCAGAAGATGACACTTTGCGCTCTATGTGAAGAGGCACTGGGGAGAAGGGATTGCTGGAGCTCGACCTGCTGCTGCTGCAGTGCTATGCCCTTTCCCTCTCTCTATTGACCATTTTAATGGGTCTTCTGCACTTTTGGATGGCTGATGGACGCATCATATGTAAACCCTGTTCCCCTCATACACACAGCGTTTGCCTGGCTTGCCCAGCAAGATGGTTGGGTTTTGGAAGCACCAGGTGCAGCTGCTGGGACCACTGGTTGGAGAAACATTTGCCTCCTGAGCCCGTTAATTAGCACAGTAACGGTAACTGTGCTCCATTAGCCAACCCATGTGGTCGAGTCCCCTCCCTGTCCACCAACCTTGCCCTTAATGAGAGCTGGAAGGGGGACACTCACAAAACACTGCCTCAGAATAATATTCGGCTTTGTCCGCGCCGGTAACGAGAGCTGACAGGATCACTACGTCCATTTCTCTTCTAATTAGCACACTTCCAGCTCGGCCTGAGCCAGCAGCCAGAGAAAAGCGATCGGACAACCGTACCGAATCACAAACACAAAGAGGCCCATTCCCCGTAATTAGGTGAGACAATCCCTCAGTCTTTTCTCGGCTGGAGCTTGCCGGTAAGACTCTCGCTGTTTTGGTAAGTCCCAGCAACACAAGTTACACGTCTCCCCAGGACACTAATAAGCCCCTAATTGTCTTCCGCTTCACACGGCTTGTACCATAGGTCTGACTTGGGGGAATTCTTCTAACGAGCGGCAGCCAGCGCTCCCTGTGCCGCAGACGGACGGGGAGCCGCCTCTCGGGCACCGGGAGGAGAAGGGGGACGGGGAGAAACAGCCAGAAAAGCAGCCCAGGCTCAGGGGCCCAGCTACACGGCATGGGGCCGGTGGCTGGGCAGCAGCCACCTGTTGCTGGGGACATGGACCTTCTCTACCCTCTCTCCATTGCCACCGTCCACCTGTGTGGTGGAACCCCGAGTTCAACCCTCTGGCCTGCCTTCTCCTTTCTTGTCTCCAGTAGTACCCAGGTACCTGCGCTTCCACGCAGAAATGTACCATCCAAGCCAAACATATGATTGCGAAGATTTGCCTTAAGTCTCTGCTAAGGCTTGCTGGGGGCTACCCTTAGAGAAATGCAGCACCTGGCATGGGCTCTTCTCCAGTGAAGCCATGCTGTGGGTCTGCTTCAGAGTTCAGGCTGGGAAGGAGCACGGGTGTAAACGAAACCCTGTCGGTTCCCATGGAAAGGAACACGTGCTGGGTCTCACAGGACAGGTTTCTAAAGATGCCCACAAAATGATTAAAAACACGAGAACTTCCAGAAGCTGTGAGGTGGGTAGGAGACCCCAGCTCAAACTCCCTGATCAAAACAAGGCAAAGAAAGACATATACTCCCTCTAACTTTGAATCCAACACTTTCTTGAGAAACCATCATCAACCAAATATTTTTCAGCAAAACATTTTCCCTAATTTTTGATGACAAGTTCATTTTGAGCAAAATATCTCAGCTGATCCCATTAAGGGTACTCAGGGCCTGCAGATCCCTTTGCCTCCTCTGCAGCTGATTACAAACTGATCCCTCCTGCAAATCAGGCCAACAGGCCTCCCCAGAAGTGCTTCGTCCCCGTTTTACATGTGCTATTCGGCTTCGGTGTGCTAACCAGGGGGAGAAACTTAAGAGAGGGTGACAAACTGATCCATGCAGAGTACAAGAGAAAGACAGGCACCGGTGATTACCTTCAGAAGCAAGTTAGGATAATCAATGTACATATGTATAAATAAATCAATTAAAACTAGCTATAACTAATAAATTTAATACAGGGAGAGGAAAACAAAATAAAGGCCACGGAAGGAGGCAGCCTGAGTATCCATGCCCACTTGGGTCACTCTGCTGGTCTCTTGTCCCTCACTCTCACATAGCTGATGAGCCCTCTTCCTGCCTTTTCGTACATAACCTGCTGCGTTTTGGGCTATTGTAGGAAGTGGAAGATGGCAAATGGCCAATTTCTGATGCTTCAGAATTAGCTTTAAAATTATATGATTATGAGGAAAGTTGTTAGACGTGCACGGTATTTTTGGGAGGGGAATCTTCCCTGGCATCCAAGTGCCTGCAAGCACAAAATCTAATTACCCTATATTATTACGCCTACTCATCAGCTATTGGCCACAGAGCCAGCCTTTCAAGTGATACAGAACCAAGTCAAGTACTTTGTCCCCCCAGAGATCTGGTCAATAAATAAGGTGCAAGGTCATTCTTATTACCCATTTTTTCTACTAGCAATTAAGTAAGGGCTTTCAAGCTCAGCCCTCTTCCTCTTTTCTGTTCCTTACTGAGGTGTCTGTAACAGAGACAGGCAGGGAGCGTTCTGGCTTCACTGGTCACTGATCTGTATTATAGGAATCAGCAGGCAAGCCAGAGGTCAACCACACAAACCCAACAAGAAAACGCCTATTCTGTACACGCATCAGCTGCCTGGAGTCAGTCATTCTGCTCAAAGGGACGTGACGGAAAAGGTCAAGTCTAAAAATCGGCAGTTTTAGTGGATGATGAAGTCAAAATGTGAAGAGATCCCACTGTGCTGAAAATCTAGCGCAATCTAAATTACAATAGCATTATTGCACATATTCTATGCAGAATGTGAATTACAGTCTTTAGAAACTGGATCAGTCCATACTTCCTTGGTACTCGAGCTTTTATATACCTTTACGTGGATTTCATATGATTGGCCACAATTGACTTCAGGATTTTGCATTTCACATCCTCCTGAAAGAAACTCAAAGCACTGATGTAAGGACTGGCTTGCAGAGATAACACATCCCTAGAATACCTTCGATTCCAAGAGTCACAGTATCACATGAAAACAAAAGGATCCAGTCTTTTCCTTTTCCATTTCAGTGTTCTCCTTTTTCTCTCTTTTTTTTCCCTTTTCTTAACTTTTAAAAATATCAAGGCTCACCTCTTATTAGGGCAATGCATATTTGGCACCACACATACAATATCTTTGGAAGTATGTGGCACACTGGCAGATGTATATGCTGGGATGTGCATGTAGAACCACGGGTTTTGATATTTCTGTGGTGGGACATTTTTACTATAGTGATTTTAGAAATGCATTTACAACATTTGCATTTGTTGTTTTAATCACGTTGATTCAGTTCAGAGTTTGTTGGTCCATGGGAAATTTCTGTCCAACTGTGATTTTCCTGGGCTGAAGATACAGAGAGGATCCTCTGGGAAACTTTCTTTCAATGAATTGTCTTCTCCTTCTATAGACTGATGATTTAATGACTTTTTAAAAAGTGTCAGTACAGAATGGTATATGAAAATGGCGGTATCACATTAAGGACTACAGATTATTTTCATGTTATATCAAGTTTGCAGGCCATCTTCAGATAGCTCACTCAAAGATGTGACATATTTCCCTGTTAAGAGTTGTCTTTTTCTTTTGATTGGGTATCTCTAAAAATTGGTATTAGTTGAGATGTATTACAGAAATGTTTATGCAACATTACTGAACTTGTGGTAGGATAGAATGCCAGGATTTCAGACCATATGACAAAGATATAATTTATCTTTTTTACATACTGCATAGGTTGATGATGGCATTACCCAGTATTGCTTCCTCGACATGAAGTGGTTGGCATAACTCTCGTCACGATTTGGAAAAAGTGTTGCCTAGGACAAGTTACTGCGGGTGAAGATGAAGTGGATGAGATCAGCTGCATGCACAGACTGCAAATCTAAGTGATGATCCTGTTCTCAGAGATACTCAAAACAGGATTTAGCCCATGATGATGTGGGAGAAAACAGCGGGGGAACAAAATATAAGCTGTAATTAGGACTTACACGCCTCCACAGTATGCTCACAATCTGAATACTCCGCAATTTTCATTATGCCATCTCAGATAGGCTGTAATAGAAGACAGACAATTGAACAGTGTGAACATAAGGAAGGTGAACATAACCATGCAAGCAAAAACATAACATGAGCTGAAAAATCATGAGCAGTGCACAGACAGCAAAGAAGAAAAAACCAAACAACTGTTTCTGACAATAAAAGAAATGGAAGGTTCAAAATGGAATTGTCAGGCAAGCAGGTTTAAAACAAAGAATGACTTGTCCCTCCCCCTCCTTTTTTTATTAAACTTTTCTTTGTATGACTGAATTATGGAACTTGCTGTCCAGGGGCATTCTAGGGGACAGAAGTACAGACAAATTAGGACTAAGACAAATTTATGGAAGGTAGAGTCTACTGTGGATGAGATTCAACTAAAACAGATTGTTGGATGCTGGGTAAGTTACCCTAAAGCAAAATCACTCTGTGTAAGCCTTTTGTTTATATCCTTCCCCATGAGCCTACAACTGTTTATAATCAAAGAGAAGATTACAGATAAAAAGGGCTTGTGATTTGACTTGTAATAGCACCTCACTTTTTATGTAACATAAAAATCAGTAAGATAAACCAGAATAAGGTTCAAACATTACCTCCGACTTGGATTAGTCAGTTTTCACTAATCTGTTATTTCCAGGTGACTTGTTGAGGGAAATAGGAAGCAAAGTTGAGAACTGTGGTTATAGGATTGTTCCAAAACTGTTAATTTTGTAATGGTAAAACACTGAGTTAAATGGAATACTCTGCTCTTCAACTGCCAGTGCAACTAGATTTTTATTTTGATAATGATTACTATAACTAACATGAATTTCTTCTCAGTTGGATTAAACAGCAAAGCATTTGATACTCCAAGATTGAAGTGAACAGCCTTTACAACTGAATATATGTAACACTGGCATTTAAAAGGAACCAAATATATACTGGGTTTATTTCCAAGAGCCTCACAGTAACATTTAACATACCAACACATGAAAACATTTTATAAAGCAATGCATTAGCTCAATTAATATTACCAAATCTTGATCTTCTTATACTCTTCATTCCCATCATTTATCAGAACTTTTTTTTTGTTTCAAAATACAGAAGGTTATCAGCAACAAAAAGTCACCCAGATTTTCTTGTACAGATAGATACTGCAGGGATGTTAGGAAGGACATCACTGAAGGAAAAAAACAGAGTTCCCTTAGTACTATTTGGATATTGCCAAATATTTATTTACTGATGGGAATGGAGCATCCGCAGGCCAAACCCTGAGGTGGCGGCATGCAGACATGTGAAGAAAAGACTGAGGAAGAGTATTGCCTAGGTGGCTAAGCAAAAGCTTTTGCATCTCCAAGGGCTATTCTGGAAACCCAGATGAATCTCTGAGCTTTGCATTTGTTTACTATCAAACCACAAAGCAATAACAGACAGATTACAATTCTCTGGCTAACAGGCAAAAATACATATAAATATTACCAATAAAAAAATACATCACTGACTCATCTCTACAGATGACAAGTACAAAGCTAATAAATATCACAATTCTAAAGCATACGTTACTGGCTGCCCTATAGAAGATAAGTACTGCATATGGTAAAAGGCTTTTTTTGTTTGTTTGCTTTTTTTTTTAAACACATGTATGTTACTAAAAACTACCTACAGTTTGAAATTCCTTATTGAATGTACCAGAAAATATACATATACTTCCATGCCAGGCTTTCATATCTTCTCCTATATTCCTCCTCCTTTCAGATCTCCATTTCTTAATGTGTTGGATCAACAAACCTCTATAAAATGCACAAACTCATATTGGTGATATAGACAAAGTATACCATTATGTCATATATGTGTATATATATTATGTATATAGTATACAAACTTAAAATTGCATTAAAAATGTATAATTTAATACTTAAAAGCTACATCAACATCAGTTTGCACCAGCAGGTTTTTTCTCTGTCTCTGAATTACCACTTTTAGCTTCTCTTCACATTCATCTGTCTTAACTCTTGTGTTCTCAAGGGATGGAGTTCCTGTTAAGCTCAGCCCTGCATAAACTGTGAAGAAATAAACCCATTAAGTTTAAAATCAGACTCCTAGCATTCCTAAATATTCAGTATTTGTACAGGGGTCTTTCTGGGATGTGGCTGTTAATTCTTAAACTCAGTTAACAGGAGCTGTCCAAAAGAAGCCTAGTTCTGACCGGTGATAGCCAAGACCACAGACTACAAACCGAAAGGCCACCAGCATTTTAGTAAAAATTCAGAGAGGTCTATTCAATTAAAAAATCTCCTCCTCTTTATTGCACGTGCACCTGAAAAGAGTCTCCTCTCTCTGCAAAGACAGAAAAATGCACTGCTCTAAGGACAGCCTATTTCCAAGTCATTTCTCCTCTCACATGTGACTGCAGCCTGGGAAATGACAAGTTTTGAAAAGTCTCCATGCTAAAAATAACATTTCTAAATGGAGAAAAAGCCCTGCTCTTCATCGAATGTTTCAATATTATGTTGTAGCCTAGAAAGAACACATTTACTAATGCTTAAAATGTTGTTTTCTAGGAAAAGGAAAGAGGATGAAATGAAAAAAACTTATCCTCTCAAACAAAAGTCTGAACACACTCTTCACCTCTTCTCAGGGGTGAACATGCAGAAGTGCATTAACAGAAGGAAAAGACATTAAACTGTAAGATGAATAAAGCCCAAAACTGTGTGCTGAAAGAGACCGGGTCACAGAAAATTCTCTCTTAAAAATTGTGGGTTTGTAGGGGAAGAAAATTTTGAGGTTGCTGTTTTATAAGGAATAAAAAATACCACAAAATATTATTTTCAGAAGTGTTAAGATTTTGTATAAGCAGACCATCCTTGCAATGTGGCTAACAATCCTGTTGCCCCTTCTTAGAGCGCTAACTGAAAATATTACCACCTTTCAACTTCATAACTTTCTTCAGTTTCTAGCTCTGTAAAAAGCAGAGAATTGCAGTGGACTGACGAAGCTGTTTCTTTGCGTACTGGCCGAAGTTTCTGTAGGGATATCTTCCCTCATGATGCAGTAATACCTCTTACTCCCTATGGTCTGTCAGTCTTGATTGCACCAGAGAACCGTTTAGTGGTGAGATGAAGCTCCTGGTACACCGAAGGTTTGGAGGTCCTCCTCGGAGGACCAGACATGCTTCTCTGAAGGCAGTGGGTAACTGGAATCTAACGCACAGACTGCACTCAACTTCTAGGCTAAAAGCATATGC